TGTGAACCCCTTCTGGGTTGTTGGGTAGTATCATACCAGAGCCAGAACCAAAAACAGAAGTATTAAATTAAATCTTGACTTGTTTCTACTGTTAATGTATTAGTTACAATAGTGCTATTTTAACTGTACAAATATACAAAGATAATTCATTTGCATTGATTTATGCTACAGCCTACTCAAAACACACTATTACATTACCAGCAAACTTGAGGAACTTTTGTGTATCAGGGGGCATACTAGGTGTCACAATAGATGTCACTGATGCTTCTCGTGAGAAAAAGCTTGCCAGTGATGTGGAAGACCCTGGTGTGGTTATCATTGGAGAAGAAAGATCTGCATCATGTGCATCTCTTGAGGTTATTCCTGACAGAGGGTTCTCAGTTGTCTTCTGATCATCCTTCTCTGCTGCATGCACCAAAAAGAATGCTTCCACAGCTGGCTGGAGAACTAACACAGCATGGTGGTCTGGAGTTTCTGACAAGCTGGACAGACAGTCACTTAGTGTTTCCCAGAGGTTATCAAGATCTAACTGTTCACTCAAACGTGGTGGTATATCTCCAGCCTGTAAATAAAGGCAATCACATAAAACAATAAATTAATTAACCAATCAATTAATCAGTCAACTAACCAATCTTAATTTATTTTTACCTATGTACAATTTTATTAATATTGTACATATTCTATGAGTTTGCTTCCCAACTTGCAAGTTTCACTTACATCATTACCCATTATAAATAAGTTCATCCATACCTCTTGCTCTGCAGATGTTCCTTGGCCACCTGAACCAGTTCCTCTGTTTGGCTGGTCAACTTCCATCGGTGATTCACTTGATGCTCTTCCATCTGCTGGTGCACCAGAAGCAGTAGATGTTGGTGTGGATGATGGTGTTGAGGTTGCTGGATTTTCTACACTAGCTGCCTCACCTTCATCAATAGCATCCCTTCCCTAAGTGCAGAAAAATAATGCATAATATCCTTTCCAACCAATAAATACACTGATTGATATTATCTTTCAAATATATTATCATCATCAGATATTGGCTATCATCAATTAAACAATCAGAAACCCTAACCATATCATCATCAATATC